CCAAGGTACCAATGGAGCAGAAAGGAATGGGAGCAATCCAAGTCCAAAATTCAGCAGGGCAAACATTAAGTTCTAGAGTTCCGTGTCCAACATCTGGGGCAATCTGTGATAAGATGTGAACTCCAAAGGGCTTGAGTAGCTTTGCTCCATGACACTGGTGGTTGTTGTAGCTCCCATGGCTTCACTATTGGGCTGGCTCTGCTCCCTCCTAGAAGTTTTACTCAGAAAATCCATGTTTCTGCTTCTCCAGCATTCTGGAGTCTCCACTGCATCTTTAGCTTCACACTCACACCTTCACACACTGCCCACTCAGGGGTACATGGCCTGGCCTCCCAGGCCTTCTTCTGAAATCTGGGTGGAACCCTTCCTGACCCCACAATTCTTGCATTCTACATGCAGCTAAAACCAGCTGGATTGCTGCCAGTTGAAGCAACAGCCAAGGTTCCTTCCCTCTTGGCTGTAGGGATTGAATGCTTGGATTTCTCTGTGCTATGAACCCATTTCTGAGGGACAGATTCCCTAGGCTACTGCCATTCTGGAACATGGTGTTCTGGGGATGTCTTCTCAAAGGAAAGTCTTTCACCTTTGCAACTTGAAGGATGCAAGGCTAGAGTCCTGCTGGTACATGTAATGTCCTCAGGCCATCTTTTCTATCATGCTCTTCCTTCTCAGCAACCAAGTTTTCCTCTGCCTCTTCTTTGCTACCAGAGCTTCCTTTCTGGTCAAACTCAAAATGTTTTAAATCATTCTGTTAGGCTTTTTGCTCATAGATCTGCCTGAAAGCTCACAACACTAGCCATGCCACCGCTTCAACATTAGACTGCCTTGAAATTTCTTCTGCAAGATTAATTAGTCCACTACACTTAATCTCAATCTCAGGAAAAGTCTCTGGACAAGAGAAAAAAGCAGACAAATTTTCTGCCAAAACATACCATACATGGTCTGGAGACCAATACAGTCCTTCTTCGCAACTGAAACCTCCTAAGCCTGGTCTTTAGGTGCTCCATTTCCATCAGCATTCTAGTCTTCTGATCTTTAACCAGAATCTCCCATCAGGTTCTTCAGGTGGCATCTCCAAACTTTTCCAAACTCTTCCTACAGCCTGTTCCAAAGGCTCCTGAACCACATGGTCAGGTACAGTTAGCAGTGGCCTCACTCTCTGTACCCAAGTCCTTTTAGTTCCTTTTAGTTCCTTTTCTCATTGCTGATACAAAATACTTGACACTCAAAGTTAAAGGAGGAAAGGTTTATTTACCCCACAGTTTGTAGAGGTTTCAGTCCATAGTCAGCTTGCTCCAAGGTAGGTGGTATGGCAGAGGGGCATTGCAAAGGAGAAATAGTCCATGGCAAGCAGGCAGAAGACAGTGAAGGAGCAAGCGGCAAGCAGCAAAACAACAGAAGCAACCTAATTCTTCATTTTATCCCTTCCAGGCTACCCATCTTTTGGGTGGTGCCACCCACACCTATGGCGGATCTTCCTGTTATCTATACCCAGAAATATGCTAATTCTGTCAGTGGACTCATTTAGTAATCAGGCCCCCCTAGATCCAGCCACCTCTGTAAAGCCCCACCAAAGACTGTATGAAGCTTTGGGGGGACATCTGCATACAGGCCATCACAGAAGGACTTAGTCCATGGGTGGTTGGCTCCAGGGCCAAAACAGCATAGTGGAAAGGCATCGAAGAAAAAATCTGTTCACCTCATGACAGCCAGGAAGCAGAGGTAGAAAGGAGACACCAGGAATGAGCATATACACTTCCACGTCACATGCCCGGTGACCTGCCTCTTCTGACCAGGCCACTCTCCTGAACAAATGAGACTTTGGCAGTATTTGAGATTTAAACCACACACCATCATTTTTAAACATCAGACCTGGGAGGAGATGAGACACCTCTGCCACCTCACCTGCTCACTGTTCCTGGGCTTGGCTTTCTCCCCATCAAACCTCTCATCTGTGAGTTCATGGGGTGCCTAGTAGACTGCTTAGCCTGAGATATGGCAGTCAGGATTGCCAATGATATGTACAGGTCCTGACACATTATGGAGAAATGGGGCATCATTTGTCTCATCCCCACCGATACATTGAATTTGGAGGGGACAAAAGCAGAGGAAGGTGTAAAGGATAATGCAAAGCCTTAAATTAATGAGGTAATGGGGTTAGCATATTTCTGTCTAAGTGAGCTGGGGTCATGTTCCTAGAAAGAGCAACGTAGAAGAATCACCAATTGAACAAGCTCAAAGTGGAAACCAAGCAAACAGGCTGCATAAATCAACGTTCAGTTGTGTGTTATTGGTGGCAATTATTTCCTGGAGCCTCCAGTCCCCAGTGCCTCCTGCTTGGCCTAAAGATGCTTATTTAGCAGCCCCAAGTTTGACATCTTAATGATTTCCTTCCCACATTAAAAATAGGTATCTGCTGTGAAATTCATAGGTGTCATTAGTGTTTTTATCAAAACCTTTCTGTTCAAAGAAGCAAAGTAAGGACAAATTCAGAGATAAAGCCTCCTGTTGGAGTGGAAGAATTACCAGCTTGAGTCATGACAGCTGGTTCAAAGTCTTGGGTTCACCTCATCCTAACAGGGTGGCCAAGAACAGGGTGTCCCCTTGTCTGAGTCAAAAGAGAAGTTAGCTCCATCAAACCTCCTCATCTTGTCTTTGTGTACTATGTTTGTTAGGATGGGCATCTGTGCTTCCTGTTATTCATACAGGGGAGCCATGATGGCATATTGTTGCTATCACGTCCTTGCCTCTTTCTGGGGCCCTCATATCCAAGGGAGACTCTAGCTAGAGTTCAGGCTCAATTCTAAACACTGTACTCATCTGATCCCCATGTCCACTCTAGGCAATATTAGCATCTGCATCTGGAGAAACTGAGGCTCAGGCAATTTAAGTAATTTCCCCATGGTCACACAGCTGCTAAGTGGCAGAATTGGGATTTGGAACTGGACTCACTTGACTCTGAAGTCTGTACTTTCCCTATAGAGGGTACACCGGGGAACTTCAGATGACTTCTGAAGAGGTTTCTTCCAGCCAAGGAACCAGGCTTTTGAGAAGTGTGAGGACAGAAGGATCACACCCAAGGCTACTGAGCCTTGGCACAGGTCCCAGGCATGCTCTGCTCCTTAGCTACTCTCAGCAGAAGCCAATGAAATGATACTGAGGTTTATTTAGCTTATTGTACACTGTAGGGTACAGTGTACAGTACTCTGGTACTTGACATTGACTTCAGGAGGTGCAATGAGCACCAAAATGATGAGTACTGAACATAGGTTTTGGCAGGAAAGGGAAGCACGTCATGATGCAATTGATTCTAACTTGTGTGTCCAGGATCAGACACATGACAAGTACCAGGACAAAATTTTTCCTTCAAAATGTGCTCCAAATTGAACACATTTCAAAGCAATATCGCACCATGTACAACTATACTTTGGCAGTTAGGTAACTAGGCATCGAAAGAATATTGGGTTTTAAAGTCACCATTTTTATCTTTGTAAATTCTTGCCCTCTCGCCTCACCTCAACTTTCCTCCCAGAACATCTCCAGCATCCAACAGCCCATCAGCACTCTACTGCTCTTGAATAATAATCACAGGAGTTAACAAGTTAGCGGATTCCACTTTATTAGAGGCCAAGGAAGAACTTTTAGGGAAAGTGCATCTTGGTGACAGGACCCTGTCCCCAGCTCATTGTGAGGTAGCTTTGTCCATGGGGCAGAAATGCAAGTTTCTTGAACATCTACTCTGTGCCGGGAATTTTACACACACGGTCATCTGTAATCTCCAAGTCTCCCATCCGAGAAGCATTTCATCTTTCCCAATTTACAAATGAAAACATACAGCCTAGAGGTGAAGTGACTTGCTCAAGGTGACACAACCATAGAATGAGTGATTAGAAACAGGCTTAGAACCCAGGTTTGTGTGGCTGCAGATGCCCTGAATTCCCAGAATCACAGGGCTGCTCTTCCACAGCAGGCTCAGTCTAGGTGGGCAAAGCTCTGATTTTCACACCATGCTATCTGAAAAGCTGAAATGGCATCGCTTCTGCAGGTGTTCAAAGCCCCTTCTAGGACATTTCCAGCTTCAAACCAGAGGAGCCTCTCCTGGGTGGACTGGGTGTCTAAGTCCTTCCCTCGCCCCACCTCAGTGGGACAATGGATTGCTATTTCTTTCTCACATTAGCTCCTTAATTGCAGTCTCAGGAGGGGAAGGAGGAATGAATCCTGCCCACCAGATGTTGCGGGCATGCAAGTGCATCCCAAGTATACTTCTCATTTTTGCTGCTCCTTTTCCCCTTCCCCATTAGTAACCTCAGTGTTTTTCTGAACAGAAATCACTCCCGCCTGGGAGGGGACACTTCACAGCCCTCTCCATTCCCTCCCTCGACTCCTTCAACAGCAAATTAGAACTCCTCTCTGAGCCCCAGCAGTGCCAGGCAGGCATCTTAAATAAATGGTAATTAGTGCAGCCTGGCTGAAGCCTAGTGAGAAAGAAGGCAGCTCTGAAATGAGCACCTTTTAGCATCTGTTTGGGCCTCTCTTAAGGTGCTTATTACATTGCCATGCATGGTTGTTCATTCAGAGAGCTTTCGTACCCTGGTGGAGAGAGCACAGTTTAACTTTGGAGGCGCCCCCAATTTGAATCCTAGAGTTATCAGCTCTGCTATTTGGCTGACCTTTTTACCCTTGGACAATAGACTTGAGCTTTCTGAACTCCAGCTTTCTCACCACTTTAATTCTAGCATCACTTCTACCCTCATAACACTGGTGGGTTGAGTGAGATGCATCACGTCAAAGGGGGAAGCAACAACACACTCACACAACTGTGAATTATGGTAGAAAGCAGAACCCAGATGTCTGCATGGCTGGGTAGGTTTGTGGGGTGGGCGAGCATCTCTGCAGGGATCAGGAGTTCTCATCATCTGAAGAGCAGCCTCTAAGAGGGGTTGAGTTGTTCTGTGTGGTTTTGGAGAAAGAACTATGAGCAGTAGATAGTTCTATAAATATTCGATAGATGACAGTGTATTGCACCTTAAATAATAACCATGGTGGGTAAAGCTGCTGGTAGGTGGGAAACTTTCTGTGGAGAGCCATGGTTGGGATACATCTTTGGGGTTCACCTCAGGCAGTGGCCTTGGAGGACACCACATTCACAAGTCAAGAAGGAGGAAGCTGCCTGTTCTGTCACAAATGGACAGACCATTCAGAATTGATAGTATATTCAGGATTGTGGTGTCTTGCCTCTGTGAACCTCATTTTGTGTTAAAAGAGAAGGTGAAGCAGCTTAGAGCTCATGGTCTTCTACCTGAAAGATAGAAGGAAAGAAAAGCTTGGTGATTCCTTTCCTTTCTCTCTCTTATGAGGCCCAGGCTGTTAGGCAGCTGAGCAGCAACCTCTGAATGACTTGTATGTCCTCAGCTGTCTCTGCGTCAAAGGTGGAGGTGTTAAGTATCCGTGAATGTGAAAGATCAACTGAGTCAGTATGAGCAAATTGGGTTGAACTTTCTGAGCCTCAGTTTCCTTATCTACAGAAAGAAGTAGTGATACTTACCTCAAAGGCTTATTAGGATGAAACACAGTGATAGATGGGAAAGGCCCTGGTAGAGTCTGAGGAATGGCCTGATGTTCTTCACACCCTTTCTGAGCGTGCTGACAGCTCCCAGGTCATGGCACATTTGAGCCTTTGTGCAAATGTCTTTGTCTTCCCAAAGCCCAACTCGTATCTTTGTGCAGCAAAAAGAGCCATTATTTTCTTCTCTGAGAATCTTCTGTGGTTTAGGAACCACATCAGAGACTTTATACTTTTTTCCTCATTGAGTCTTCATATCAGGCATTCATCCCCCCATGCCTTTAAAGTTATTAAATTCTATCGAATACACTTATTAAGCATATATTATATTCCAGGCACAGTAATAGGTGCTGGGATGCAGAGATAAAGATCATGTATCCCCTGTCTTCAAAGAGTACTGTCTTACAAAGGAATTCAACTAGTAAACACAATTTGTAATATGAATGTCATTATTTCCACATTACAGATGCAGAAGCCAAGGATTAGAGAGGCATTGTTAAGACATTAAAGCAAGTTTTCATCCTAGTCTCCACTGTGTCTCCTTTAACTTTGCCCCAAAAGATGAAGTTCCCCATGCCCCTTGATTGAATTATATGCTGTCTGACTTGGACAACTGCATTTGGGAAGAAAAGAAAAGCGAGAGGGGGGAGAGGGTAGACAGGGAGCAGAGAAATGTAATTTTACTGACTTGCAGACCCTTTTAAGCAACTGACCTCATGCTCTGCAGAACCTGTTGAGCTAATAGCATGTTGGGGTGCCCAAATTATTAACATGTAATGGGGAAATGCATTCCTCAAATGCAAAGTAAAAGCAACTTGACTCAGAACTCTAGATCTCATTAAATGAGCTAATTCACCTACTGCTTAATTTGCTGGAAGCCCTATGAGTAATTAGGCTGCTGACATCTTCCAAAATTATATTCTTAATTGTTGCATTCTTTTGCATCACAATGAAGCTGGCCACCCTTCTTCCTAGGCTGCCTTCCTCCTCTCCCTGCCAGAGCTCTGTAGTGAGGCGTAAGTTTTGCATTTAGCACACTTACTATCAGGATGGTAATTAGGAGGGAATATTAATTAGAAACACAAGACCACCCTGGAGATTGAGCAGAATATTTGAAGCACTGGGTTTGATAGTTTTAATTTTTTTCTTGCTTTTTAAAAGCTAGTCCCGAGCCCTGAAATCTTGCAGCTGTTATGTTATAGGGCAGGCTCCTATTTCTTGGTATTTTTTTGTAACAATTTATAAGTGCTTCCTGGAGTGGTGCTGACTTGTTTTGGCTTGGAACCCACAATACAATATTTCATTCTTGAGATGTTGCTTCCATTTATCATAGTAGATGTGTGTGTATGCTACACACATGCGCGTGCGTGTGTGTGTGTGTGTCTGTGTTTATTCACTAAAAAAGGGCAGCTTCTTTTTTGTACACAAAAAGTACTATTCTAGAGAAAAGTGTTCCAAACCACTTCCTGGAGGACCATTGCAAACACATTTTGGGCTTGCTGTAGATAGATTCTCTAATTGCTTTGAATTTACTTTAGTACTTGACTGACGACTACTTTGAAGTGATTATGAAAAAATAAGAAGGCTTCTGCCAGGAGATTTGAGAAGGAACAAGTTTAGAGGAGACACTCTTGTTTCCAAGGAGTGAGGCTCCTCTTGAAGCTGTGTGACAGTGCAGATCCTGGCACAGAAAGAGTGGTGCAGGGGCCCTTGCTTGGCGCCTTTTATTTTGGTACTGTGCTGTCCTGCCTTGTTCTTTCCCACCGCCCGAGAACCGACTTCCTGGTTGCTGAGGAGCTGTTTAGCATTCATGTTTGTACTTTCTCCTTTCTCATCAGTTCTGTGCCAGCACCATGCTGTCTTCTGCTCTGCCCAGCAAGCTCATGGGCCACCTGGGATTCCCGTCACTCAGTGCCCAGAATCCTGGGGCCACATTGTGACTGCATCTCCATTGTGACTTTACATGAGGACATTGCCTTAGTGTTTGGGAAGAGACGCTTTCTGCTTCTTATTCCACCACAGGCTTTCTGTGTGGGCATGGACAAGCCATTAGAGGCTCTAGGCCTCTGTCGTGTTTCATATGTTAGAGGCCGGGGCTCCTTTGAGCTCCACATTTTCATGAATGTGTGACTCTTGTGAGTCAGAAGTCTGACTCAGGGACTGAGCACTTGAAGCTAATCTCTGTATGCTTTGCCTCAGGAAGAAAGACCAAGGACCTAAGCAAGAAATGAGAATGGGCAGGAGGCCCAATGTGCTCTGTGAAGGGGGTTGGATTCAAACAGATCTGACTGCAAGCCAGCTACACAATATAATAGCTCTGAACTCAGGGTCCTTGCTCTCCCCAAGCCTCCATTTCCTCTTTGACAAAGTTGGACCATGATACTTACCTCAGAATCAGCTCTGAAGATTAAAGGAGAAGATGTTGGGCAACGTGTCAAACACTGTGCCGGGCACACAAAGTGCAGAAGAAAGGTTAATTTCCATCCTACCCCTGTTCCTCCCCATCTCCTTGAGGTGTCAGAATTGAAGTCATAAAAGGAGAAAGCAAAATCAGTAACCAGTAGCAGAAGACGGGGAGTTAAGGAGAAAAATGAGAAGCCATCTGACTTCATTATGATAGAGAATTTTGCTCTTTTGAAGGCAGCTTTGGGAAGATGAGATCCATATGTTCTTCTTCATCTATGGTAGAATTTCTTGAAGATATCAGAACCACAATGAGAGAGTAGTACCGGTATTAGCCACTGCTCACTGAGCCAAGTTGTGGACTTACTGATACACTTAGACCAGCTCTACACCCAACAATAGCTTGGCACTGCCTTCATAAAGAAACATGCCAAAACTGAGATACCCAAGAAGGAATAAAGCTGGGATTGGAGCTGTTTGATTCTAACACTACCTGGGTGGTATTCACTAGTCCTACTGTACCTCTGTTAAATACATACTGCACAACCACAATAATCTTTTGAGTGAATTGCAAGCTAACCCTTTGGCTTTATGTGGGGGCTTTACCTAAAATGGATTCTGGTGGAAATGGCAGTTCCCTTTTGCATGCCCCAAATCTGGCACACAGTAGCTGCCTTCTTACTGAGTACCAAACATATAAATAGACAATGAGATAAATCAAACTTAAATAGGCCACCAGGGTAAAACCACACCTCACCCAAAGACAGAGCCAAAGTACGTGCCCTTCCTCACTGCCTGCAAATGCCATCTGGTCAGAGGAGCTCAGCACCTCTGTCCAGGGCTTGAGAGCAGGAAATGAAGGTCAACTTCCTGTCATGGAGGCAGAGAATATTCCATAAACCACACTTAATTTCCAAGGTGAGTTTTGACCTGAACATGAGAGTGATCTCTCACAGGTGCATGAAGTTTTCAAGAATGGATGCAGAGCTGACCCTCACTCACTTTTCTACTCACAGCCAATGGATCCATGTTGGCCAACCTGATGTTAGGCAGCTTTTTCGGTGGACCTGCCGTCTAGCCACCAAAAGCCTGTTGCTAGGTGATACAAACGCACTACATGTTTATGTGGAGGCCAGTCATGGAATGAGCTCTTGGGGCCACTGGTTTTCTCATTGAAGAGCTTGTGTGGTTCAAAATACACAAAAGCAGATGAGGTAGGGCAAGGAAGCTAACATTTATTGAACAGTATTCCGTTTTAGGCACTACCTTAGTCACCTCCAGTAAAATAACACTTACGACCTACCTAAAACTGTGACATATGTTGTCCTCACTTACAAATAGAAACAGCCCTGCTGTTTAATTCACGAGACTCATTTGCTCAGTGCTAAACTCATGTCAGGGGACAGTAGATGTGGCAGACAATTAGGATGTGATTTTTCTCTGTCATTCAAGGTATCAGTGATACTTGTTACAGCTTGTGTCCCCCCAAAGCCTCATGTGGTCCTAGATGGGGGTGCGTTTCAGAGGTGGCTGGATCTAGAGTGTGTGGTCCTGGGAGCAAGGCTGTGTGATTACTAAATCAGAACACTGATTGGTTTGGCGTAGTTTAGGCTAGGATTAAGGGTGTGAGTGCCACACCCACCCTAAGACAGGCAGCCTGTGTACAATACAAGGGACAGAAAGAGGGCTAATGTGCTCTCTCCTTCCTGCTTGCCACGGACTGTTTCTTCTCTGTGATGCCTGTGCTATGCTGCCCTGCCTTGGAGCCACCTAACTGTGAACTGAAAACTCTACAAACTGTGAGCCAAATAAACCTTTCCTCCTTTAACTCTGGGAGTAGGGTATTTTGTCTCAGCAATGAGAAAAGTAACTAAGACAATGTTGTTTGGGTAAGAATGGGTATACATAGGTGAAAAGTATAGGAAGTTAAGATATTGAAGAATTACATGTTCTACCCATATGAGCACAGTGACATCACTGAAGGGACACTATTACTAACACAAGAGCATCTCCTTCCATCATTTTTTCTGTATTTTTGTTTCATTGTATTGTGTACACAATTTAGAGTCTTGCTCTTTTACTGATCATTAATTCATTTTCCATATTATTAATTCAAACTCTGTAAATATAATGCTTAATAACTGCATAATAACCTGACCAGTGGCTGTCTCTTGTAATTATTCTCCCTCTCCTCCTCCTCCTTCTTCATAGCTTATATTTATTGAGAGCTTTCAATTCATTTGCTGTTAAGTTAAATGTCACCCTGTAAAATCTTATTCAATCCTCACGGTAACCCTGTGAAGTAGGTTTATGATCTCTTTACATAGTTGACTGCATAGATGAGACACCTAGTGCACAGAAAGGTCAGATAATGTGCCCAAGGCTACACAGCTATTATGAAGTGGAACAAGAATTTTGTTTGGTTTTTCTAGAACTAAAGGTCTTTACTATTCCCATTTCCTTCTTGTTAGGCATTTTAGACTGATTCTAATCTTTCCCTGCCATATCCTTCTATGTCTGTATATATGTATGTCATGTATCTCTATTTGTATATGTGTTTCCATAAATATTTATAATATGTGTGCATCTATGTAGTTACTTTTCATTTCTTAAAATACATTCACAGAAGAAGAATGACTAAGTAAAAAGTATGACAATTCTGCAGACTCAACACATACTGCCAGATAGCTTTCTCAAAGTTCCACCCACTTCCATTTCTGCCAGCCATGTGGGAGAAGGCGAGTTTCATCACACACTGTTAGAGGAGGAAGAGGGGGTGAAGCAAGAAACAAATGGCCATGTGTGGCTGATGGATTCAGATGCACACAGAGTCTGAGACCCCTGAGCTCTGGCCGATATGGTACAGGAGTAGCTTTGGGAGGTTGCAGGAGCCTCATGAGACAGAGGAGAGGGAGGGTGAGTGGAAATGTTAGACTCAGAAGATGTGGGCTTCAGACCCATCTCTAGCATTTCATGTTAGCTCTGATCTGTGGGTCTCCTGGTTTGTGAATTCACTTCATTTATTCTAATTGTTGGGGATGAGGCAGAATGGTGATGAGGAAGGCCTTTGGGAAAGTTAGGGTGTCACCTAGCCCCAAATGGTAGGGCTGGATCTGAGTGGCAAGGAGTTCATGGAAGAGCATTCCAGTCCAGGTGGCTCCTGAGCCAGGCCTGAAATCTGTGGCTTGTTCTGAAGACAGCAGGGACAGTGATCACTGGCAGCATATTGTAGCGGCTGGAGTTGGGGCCAGCCTGGCAAGCTTGGGAAGGACCTAGAGAACCTGAAGTGTCATTCTAAGAGTTTGAATTTAATTTATAGATAAAGGGATTCAGCTTATGGTTGTTCCCACTCCTGACCTGAGGAGAGGGCCTTGATTTGATCTATATATTTAGGAGATGCCGCTGAGTAAATAGATATCTAAGGTACTAGGCCAGTGCTGAAGGGACTAGTCAGATAAGGTCAAAGTTATCAACCATACCCCATAAATAATCAAATGCACACACCTCTGTGTGTGTGTGTAGTCTAGCTAACATATGAACAGGTCCTCACTTTTAGCTGTCAAAATAGGACAAATGTAGCCATGATAAAAGTACATAAATTTTAGAAGGGGCTCAGAAGAAGGATTAAAAGATTTCTACTTACATTAGGGGTCAATAGGAAGAGTCAGGAAAACTAAAGTACCCTGAGTGCAATGCACAGGCACCCTGCAAGGAGGGTGAGCTTATCCCCCTTTCAGATATGGGTAAAATGAGACTAGGGTGGCCTAATCCACAGATTCAACACTATGCACTGTAACAGTGCTGCAGTTCGGTCAAGTGTGCCAGACCCTAAGTCCCACTCTGCTCTGGTGCCTGTTGAGATTTCCCAGAGGAAGTGACCTTATAGGTGAGCCTGGAAGCAGGCAACAGACATTGTCCAGCCAGACAATTATGCAAGAAGGCAGTGCCAGGAGGGAAAGATCAAAGACACTGTGTGATCCCTTTAATAATATACAAACCTCCTTTCATATATTGGAGATGAAGTCAGTCTATATATAGAGAGAAAGACACACACACACATACATCTGTATATATCTACACACATTGGAGCCATTACTCCTGCTAATTGAGTATTTACTATGTGTCAAGTCCTATTCTTAGTGCTTAACAAGTATTGACTCTTTCAATCATGCCTACAGCTTGGATTAGCCACTGTTATTATCCCCATAGAGGAGCCAACTGGAGACACGACATCCAGGAGTGAAGCTTGGAAGTGGCAGAGCCAGGATTTCCACTCAGATGTCCTGATTCTTCTTTGCATCATTGCCTCTAACCTGCACAGTTGAGGCTGGGACCCATTTTTCCCTGGCCCCCAAGGGAAGAAAGAAAATGAAGTCAGTCTGTGTTTTCTTTCCCTACAGAGGACACAAATGTCTTTAATGAAGATAGAGATGAACCAGGCTGATCCTTGGTTTTTATTTTTCCTAATGAAGGTGACAATAATGATAGTGACAGCCAGCCTTTCTGGAAGTGTGCTATTAACCAGGACCAAATGTGTTGTTGGCCACACCAGAGGGCAGGGAGTAGGTATGGTGCCCGAGGAGACTGATAATTGCCTGAGGTGAGGAATGCTGGTGTGGGTCATGCAACCCTTGCTAAACCATGTGGGCTTCAGCTACAGTGCAGTGGGGAGCCAAGGGAGGGTTCAAAGCCAGAGACTGCAGCAAACTCCATCTCTAGTGATTGTTTGGGGGAGGAGCAGAAAACTAGTGAATGGTTTGCTATGAAACCAAATGTAGTAATCGTGGTAATGCAGTTTACCCGGACTGAAACAGTGGCCATGGAAATGTG